TTTGCCCCCCCCCCCCAGACCCACTCAGCTATTCTTTCTGCCCTAAGAGACTGACTATGTGGATTATACTAAAAGTCACTCTGGACCTATCTAACAAATGTTAAAAGCAGTTGTCAAAGAATCAAATTGTTTCAAAGTTTATTTGCCTGCATAACAGAACAAAGCCCACAAATATTTAAAGGAATACAAAAACCTCTAGTACCTAAAATCATATAAAATTCACAATGACTACCATATAGTAATATTACCAGGCATGCAAAGAGGCAGGCAAATAGATCCTAGGTAAGGAGATAAATTAATCAATAACAGCAGATTGACCAAAATATATTTTAAAAATGAATATTAAAAAAAAACTTTTCAGACAAACAAAAGCTAAATTCTCTCGTCACACAGACCAGCACAAAAAAATGTTAAAGGAAATTCAGGCAGAAGAAAATGATTCTAGGTAGAAATCTGGATCCTTACAAGAATGAAGAATACCAAAAATGGTAGCTATGTAAGTAAATACGAAGCACTTTTCCTCTTACAATTTATATCTTTTTAAAAGGTAATTACTATTAGACTGTACACTTAAAAATAGTTAAGATGATAAACTTTGTTAAATGTCTTTTACCACAAATTTTAAAAAGATAAATAATAAAATTTTTATTGTGAAGAAAATAAGTTAATATTGATATTGCCAATGAAGTTGTATTTAAATTCTTGATTCCACAATTGTACTCCTTTTCTCTTGTATTGAAAATCTTCATTTTGAAAAAATATAATTGCTTATTTTTTCTGACATTACAAGTAAATAGTTACAAAAATAACTATAATATAAACATATGACACAGTTGCTAAATAAAGTTCAAAAATTTTAAAGGTAATTTGCTATTTAAAGCAGAAACAATGGCCCAACTGGCATGGCCCAGAGGTTGAGCATCAACCTATGATCCAAGAGGTCGCGGTTCAATTCCCAGTGAGGGCACATGCCCAGGTTTCGGGCTTGATCCCCAGTGGGGGGCATGCAGGAGGCTCTCTCCTCATTGATGTTTCTATCTTTCCCTCTCCCTTCCTCTCCCTGAAATCAATAAATATATATTTTTTAAAAAGAAAGAACAGCCCAGAGTAAGTAGAAGAAAGGAAATAATAGAGATCAGAGTGGAAATAAATGACATAAAGACTAAAAAACAATACAAAAGATCAATAAAATCAAGAGCTGTTTCTTTGAAAAGAGAAACAAGATTGATGAACCTTTAGCCAGACTCATCAAGAAAAAAAGAGAGGACCCGAATAAATAAAATCAGAAATAAAAGAGGTGAAGTAACAACTGACCACAGAAATACAAAGGATTGTAAGAAAGTACTATGAATAACTATGTGCCAACAAATTGGACAACCTGGATGAAATGGACAAACTCCTAGAAAAATACAACTTCCAAAACTCAATCAGGAAGAATCAGGAAACCCGAATAGGCTGATAATAGCAGATGAAATGAAGCAGTAATAAAAAAAAAACAAAACCAAACACAAAAAACCAGCAAACAAAAGACCTGGCCCAGAGGGCTTCACACAGGAGTTTCACCAAATATTCAAAGAACTAACACCTATCCTCCTCAAACTATTCCTAAAAATCCAACAGGAAGGAATACTTACAAGCTCTTTTCATGAGGCCAGCATTAGCTTAATTCCAAAACCAGATGAAGACACTACAAAGAAAGAGAATTACATACAGGCCAATATCCCTAGTGAAAATAGATGCTAAAATCCTCAACAAAATATTAGCAAATTGGATCCAGCAACATATTAAAATGATCATACACTATGACTAAGTGGGATTTATTCCAGGGATGGAAAGTTGGTACAATAGTCACAAGTCAAGAAATGTGATACATCACATAAACAAATTGAAAGACAAAAATCACATGATCATATAAATAGAAAAAGCATTCGATAAAATCCAACACCCATTTTTAATAAAAACTCTTTAACAAAATGGGAATAGAGGAATTATACCTTAACATAATAAAGGCCATACATGACAAATCCACAGCCAACATTATACTCAATGGACAAAAACTGAAATCATTTCCCGTAAGAACAGGAACAAGACAGGGTTGTCCACTTTCACCACTTTTATTCAACATAGTACTGGAAGTCCTAGCCACAGTGACCAGACAAGAAGAAAAAATAAAAGGCACCAAAATTGGAAAGGAGGAAGTAAAATTGTCATTATTCACAGATGACATGATATTGTACATAGAAAACCCTAAAGACCCCACCCAAAACCATTAGATTTAATAAGTGAATTCAGCAATGTAGCAAGATACAAAATTAGGACGCAGAAATCAATGGCATTTTTATACACCAATAATGAGCTCTCAGAAAGAGAAACTAAAAAAAAAACACCATTTATCATTGTAACAAAAAAATCAAGATACTCAGGAATAAACTTAACCAAGGAGGTAAAAGACCGGTACTTGGAAAACTAAAGGATGTTGAAAAAAAAGATAGAAGAAGATATAAACAAGTGGAAGAATATACCATGTTCATGGATTAGTAGAATTAACATCATTAAAATGTCCATACTACCCAAAGCAATCTATAGATTCAATGCAATCTCTATTAAAATACCAACAGCATATTTCACAGATCTAGAACAAACACTCAAAAAATATATATGGAATAAAAAAATACCCTGAATAGCCACAGAAATCTTGAGAAAGAAGAACAAAGTTGGAGGGAGTACAATACTGGATTTCAAGGTATACTACAAAGCCACTGTAATCAAAACAGCCTGGTACTAGCATAAGAACAGGCATATAGATCAATGGAACAAAACAGAGAACCCAGAAATCGACCCAAACCATTATGCTCAATTAATATTTGACAAAGGAGACAAGAGCATACAATGGAATAAAGACAGTCTCTTCAATAAATGGCATTAGGATAATTGGACAGGTACATGCAAAATAATGAAACTAGACCATCAACTTACACTGTTCACAAGAATAAACTCAAAATGGATAAAAGACTTAAATGTAAGTCGTGAAACCATAAAAATCCTAGAAGAAAGTGTAGGCAGCAAAATATCAGAAATCTCACGTAGCAGAATTTTCACTGACACAATGCCTAGGGCAAGAGAAACAAAAGAAAATAAACAAATGGGACTACATCAAAGTAAAAAGTTTCTGCACAGCAAAAGAAACCAGCATCAAAATGAAGAGGGAACCCACCGTATGGCAGAACATATTTGCCAATTATACATCTGATAAGGAGTTACTTTCCAAAATACATAAATTACTCATACAACTCAACAAAAGGAATAATACCCAATTAAAGAATGGGCAGAGGATCTAAATAGACACTTATCCAAAGAGGACATACAATGGCCAGGAGACATATGAGAAAATGCTCAGCATCACTATCATCAGAGAGATGCAAATTAAAACCACAATGAGGTACCACTTCACACCTGTCAGAATGTCCACCATCAACAAATCAACAAACAGCGAGTGCTGGTGAGGATGTGGAGAAAGGGGAGCCCTAGTACAGTGTTGGTGGGAATGCAGACTGGTGCAGCCACTATGGAAAAGTGTGGCGTTTCCTCAAAAAATTAAAAATGGAACTGCTGTTTGACCCAGTGATCTCTCTTCTAGGAACATATCCTAAAAATCCAAAAACACCAATCAGAAAGAATATATGCACCCCTATGTACATAGTAGTGTTATTTTCAATAGCTAAGATCTGGAAACAGCCCAAGTGCACAATAGTAGATGAGTGGATAAAAAAAGCTGTGGTACATTTACACCATGGAATATTATGTGGCTGTAAAAAAGGAGCTCTTAACCTTTGAGACAACATGGAGGGAATTGAAGAGTAAGTATTATGCTAAGAAATAAGCCAGTCAAAGACAAATATCACCTGACCTCACTTATATGTGGAATCTAATGAACAAAATAAACTACAAACAAAATAGATCCAGAGACATGGAAGCATGCAACAGACTGATGATTCTCAGAGTGAAGGGAGGTGGGGGTGGGAAGAGATTAACCAAAGGACTTATATGCATATATGTGTAAACCATGGACACAGACAATAGTGTGATGAAGGCTTGGGGAGGGGGCGGGAGAGGGAGGGAGGGTCTCAGTGGGGTGCAGAAAGGGAGACATCTGTAATACTTTCAACAATAAACATAAATTCTTAAAAAATATATGACATGGCCCTGCTAACGTGGCTCAGCAGTTGAGCATCGAGGTCAACTCCTGGTCAGGGCACATGCTCAGGTTTCGGGCTGGATCCCCAGTAGGGGGCGTGTAGGAGGCAGCCAGTCAATGACTCTCTCTCATCATTGATGTTTCTATCTCTCCCTCTCCCTTCCTCTCTCTGAAATCAATAAAAATATTTTGAAAAAATATATATATATGACATATTTCACTTAACACATGACTCAACAGACATATACAGAACATTTCATTAAAAAGCAACCGAATTACACATTCTTTTCTAGCACACACAGAACATTTTCCAGAATAGATCATATCTTAAGCCACAAAACAAGTCTTAATAAATTTAAGAAGATTGAGATTATATCACTTCTTTTCCAAGCAAAATGATATGAAACTAGAAATCAATTTTTAAAAAGCTTGGTTTATATTCAATAGTATTACAACAACAATATGTATTACTTGCATCCACTAGTAATCACCTGCTCCAAAGGGTTTTGTCTCCCTTCCTTTCTTTTCTTTAGGTACTATGCAGGACACCTGGAGTCCAAGTCAACAAATCAGAAAACTCTACGTTTAATCCACACAGCGACGAAAGGGCTAATACGCTGTATTGAAGATAGTGGAATAGATTCTGTGATGGAGTGGGAAGTGGATGAAGTGCTGAACTGGACAAATACACTGAACTTTGATGAGTAAGTACATGCTTCTGTTCTTGGGGAACAAGGGCAGGTGCCATATTTTTCTTTATAATATTTCCCACTCCCATGTTGAATCCAGGGGGTCACAAACATAATCCCCCCCACAACGAGTATTTATTACTTGTTTAGAAAGAAGAAATGAGGGAAAAACATATAAAAGGGATGATCTAAAAGTAGAAAAAAGAATATTAGACAGGTGTTTTTTATTGTCAGACTTTATTCTTAGGCCTTAGTCTAAATCTGCTTTATTTCTTACTTGGAATTCAGAAACAATGCTAACATGGAATGAACAGTATAAAGAATTTCCTTAATGTATAGTCCCTGATCTTCCCATGAGAGACAATAAAGTTATGATTTTTCAGTGACATACTATGGCAGTTTGAAAACATTTTTAAGGTTTTTTTATGTGTGATGGAAATTTTAAAATATTTTAATATAACCATCAGGGAAATTCAAGTTAAAACCACAATGACATACTACTTCATACCCACTAAGATGGCTGTAATTAAAAAGACAGATAGTAACATATTGACAAGGAGGTGGAGGAATTGGAACCCTTATATATCGCCAGTGGAAATGTACAATGGTGCCACCATTTTGGAAAACAATCTTGTGGTTTCTCAAATGATTAAACATGAAGTTGCCATATGAATGAGCAATTCCAGAACTCAGTATATATGTACAAGAGAAATAAAAACACATGTCCACACAGAAGTGTGTACATAAATGTTCTAGCAGCATTATTCATAATATAACCCAAAAGTAGATACTACTCAAAAATTCATCAACCGATGAATGGGTAGATAAAATGTGGTATATCCATACAATGGAATATTATTCTGCAATAAAAAGAAATGCTGATAAATGCTACAATATTGATGAAGCTGCTAAGTGAAAGAAACCAATCAAAAAGGCCCATATATTGTAGGATTCCGTTTATATGAAATGTCCAAAATAGGCAAATCTATAGCGACAGAAAGTAGATTAGTGGTTGCCTAGGGCCGGGAGACTTATGGGGGTTGGGGATGATGGGTAAGGGGCACAGTTCCTTTTTGGAGAAATGAAAATGTTCTGAAGATGATGGTGGTGATGGATGCACAACTCCGCCACTGAAAGCTGCTGAATGATACACCTTACCTGGGTGGATTGTACGGTATGTGAGTTACATCTCAAAAAAGCTTTTAAATATATAGAATATTTACTCAGCTACAATAATGAATGTGAATATTGCATGGGTGAAATGGCAGAAAAATTAAAATAAAGATGGTGTGAGTAAAGAAACAAAGAAAAAGGAATAAATTAGGAAGAGAGATAAGAAAATGGGATAGGAAAAGTCAACGTCATTGAACAGGAGGAAGCGAATCCGGGAGGAAGCAGAGAATACTGAGAAGAGGGAGGGTGACAAAAGAAATGATGAAGAAAAAAATGACTATAAAAAAAAGGAAAACAAAAATAAAAGAAAAATAAGATATTGAAAGGAAGGATATATTAGAACATACAAAGGGGAAAAGAAATAAAGAACTAGATGCTCTAAAATAGTTTGTAATAAGTAAATAGTAAAAAGAGATGGTTATTACCCAATAACCCCAATATCTTGTCCAGGCCATAGTACTGGAATTCCCTATGGACAGCGTATCTGTAATTTCCCAACACTGAATAAATACAGATGGTAATAATGATGTAAGAAATGACATCCAAAGAAAGGCACTGTAAGGCTGTACTTTCAAATCAAAAGTATATTTATTTTGCATTCGGTATTATTTTGTATTAGTTTCAGGCGTGCAGCATGGTGGTTAGACAGTCATGTACTTCATGTAATACTGTACTTGGTTTATCCGGAGAGTAAAAACTGCTGGGTGAAAGAATGGAGGGAAAAAGGGAGAGAGAGGTAGGTGAGGTTCATCTTGAATGAGCTTCTGAGGGCAGGATAAGGAACTTTCTCAGGCGAGCTTCCGAAACCCTGATTTGCCTTTCCCTACACAGTTGGCTAATTCAAGCCGAGGGCCAGCAAGCTTTAGGAAAGGTTACCCCCAAGCCCACGCCCGCCAGCCCGTACTCCATCGCTGTGGGAATACCGTAATACGGGGAGTCCCCAGGGGAGCTGTAAACAGGCGTCTCAGCCCCCTGTCATCCTCCCTGCCCTTCTCGGGCAGGGGGTTGCGTTTCTCAGGGTCCCTTTGTGGAAGGAAGGATGAAAACAGTAAGCCACAGGCACTACATTCCTGCCAATGCATCAGGGACAGTAGGTCTGGCCTTGCAGAACCAAGGACAGAGTTCTTTGTTGCTGTTGTTTCCCCCTCGCAGAGAGTTTTCTGTCCATACTTTTAATTTAGAAGTTCACTAACATCTTAGTAGCTTTCAGCTGAGGGCATGATCTCAAGTGAATGGGCCAGGATAAGGTGAGGAGAGGTGTGCCGAGGGAGACCAAAGGCACTAGCATGTGGGTGATGGGCACCATTTTTATACCTCCTCCAACTCACTGCCCTAGGGGTTGCCTTAGGTGCATGAGAGCTACTTGGAGGTGGGAGTCATGAGAATGAAACATTTGGACTAATGAGTTTGTTGTCATTAGATTGCATAAAGAACGTGGAATTGTAGAATTAGCCTAAGCCTGTACTAATGAATCAATTCATTGCTTACTAATAAACCAATTTAATTTAATGAATGTCTATGTAATGTGCTTAGGTATGTTGCCAACTGGAAGGAAATTGCTACAAGCAACTCTTCAGCTAACTTCAGAAGTAGGTGGTTTTTAGCAATACTTTATGGGAAATTCTTGTAAACAAAAATGATACATTCCACACATGTACACATTTCTTAGCAACTAACATTTCAGCACCCTGCACAGTGTGCAGACATAGATAAATCTGCTAAGTCAGTCTTGCCTTATAGTAAGACTGTTACTTGGGAATAGAAGGAAATTTTCTACTTTATATAAGGTTGGATAAATGTTTTTTAATGAACCTTTTTTTTAAAGTTGTGTATCTCAGTTTCAGTAATAATTTTTAATGAGCAAACTTCACTTGACTAAGTAAATGCCTCAAAATGTTGGAAATAATTTTTGGGTTCTATGCCACTCTTGTCCCTCCAGGGATCACAACACTGAGCAGCTGAAAGTCACAGCATGTTGAAGAAGCATATCATACCCCAGAAATAGCAGCAGTTCCAACAGAGCCAGAGTCTAATTGTGGTCATTGTATAATCTGAGTGTACGAGTTCTGTCCTCTGTCGTCCACGGGAGGCAGGAAAGCGCAGAGGTTACAGTTGTGGAGAGTTGATTCAGACTGCCTGGCGTTGATTTTGGGCTCTATTGCTCACTGGCTTTGTGATTCGGGGCAAGTTACTCGCTCAGTCTCCTCTCTGTAAAATGAGGCTAACAACAGTACCAAGCTCATAGATTGTGAAGTACTAAGAGGAACACGCGTCAAGAGCTTGGACTAGTGCCTGGTACATAATCCATACTCTATAATGTTGGCTCATTAGCCTTAACGTATCCACTCATGTCCAGCTCACTGTCCCCCCAACAGCCCCGGCTGCCATCATCCCTCTGCAGGCTTCTGCGACAGCCTCCACACCGATTCTCCTCCAGTCCATTCCCCACACAGCAGACAGTGACCTTTCACAATTTAGGTCGAAGTAATTAGAACACCTAAACTCTTCTTTAGCAATTACTATGTGGAAGTGCTACCTTAAAGTGCTTTGTAATATTAGCTCATTTGACCTTCAGACTAACCCGATGAGTCAGGTTTTATTGTCTGCATTTACAGGTGAGCAAAGAGATGGGCCACTTGCTCAAGGTCTCACAGTAAGATCCTGCGAGGCTGCTTGCTGCAGAGCCCATGTTCTTAATGATGACCACCTCTGCTGCCTCTCACAGCTTCCCCCTGGGCTTGGAATAAAGTGCTGACTTTAGGATGGCTCTGGCTCTGGCTGGGCTTTCCACCCTTAGCATGTCCCACTCTGCCCCTCACTCACAACCCCACCATCACAGGAACAGGCCTCTTGCCTGTTCCTAGAACATCCTGTGGTTTCTACCTTGGGGGTTTAATGGAGTTGATGGCCTTCCACAGAACAGTTTCAGGGAACTATCTGCACTTAAGGGCAGGGAGTTGTCCTGTTTGCTACTGAATCCCTAATGTGTAGCACACAGTAAATTTTCAATGACAGATAAAAGAATATAAAGGAATGACACGTACAAAAATGGAAGCATAGACTATGAAACACTGAGTTGAAAGAGATTACAGGCATATCTTGGAGAAATGGCGAATTCAGTTCCAGACCACCTCAGTAAAGCAAGTAGTGCGATAAAGCGAGTCATGATCTTTTTGCTGGTGGAGGGTCTTGCCTTTTATTTGTTTAAAAAAAAAAAAGCAAAATCTGTGAAGTGCAGTAAAGCGACGTGCCATGAAACAAGGTCTCCTTTACTGACTGCATAAAGATGGAAGGACAAAGCGAGGCAACTGGAAGGCACACAGGGGCAAGTGAAACTTATTTCAGGCAGTGGGGGTTTGCATTACAGCGGAGTCAGTGGACGGTGACACGTTGAAGGGTCGGCGCTGGAGGAGTGGGGAGAGAAGCACAGGGAGATCGAACCCAGAGACTTGGGACTAGCTCGAGAGAGAGAAAAGGCTTCTCTTCATTTGTGAATAAAAACTGTTGGCTAGTAGTTAATCACGGAGCACTAAGTAAGCGCTAGGTCCTTTACATGCACCGTTACACTTAATTCTCACAAAAAAATTATTAGGTGTGTGCTCCTATTGTCCTCTTGTTACAGATGAGGACACAGACTTAGGTTAAGTAACTTGCCTCAAATTACACAGCTGATTAGTAATAGACCAAAACTCAAACCCAAGTCCTGCAGAGCATTTTGTAGAGACAGACAATGAAATATGGTAGTGAAAGTAGGATGAACCCAGAAATCTGGGACATGTGTGGCTCCAGTTAAACAGGATATAAAGAGAGCTGCTCCACGAGTGGTGGGAAAAGCTGGGTAGACCTCGGCCTGGCGTAGTGAACGAGCCTGTACCTTACCACACCTGGCACCTTCCTAAACGCTTGTCATTCCTCTCTAGGTTTCAGGTTTGAACAAGAACAGAAAAAATTATATGGCTGTGCAGCTATATCAGAAGAGGACATGGGAATAACAGAAAATGCTTCGTCTGAAAATATTTATGAAGAACCACATGTCACTAGACTAACACCGGATTCCCCTTATGGAATATAAACGTGAAGTATTCTTTTCTTTTTTAAGCCACAGCCCTTCAAACCCTGATTGCAGCAGCTATAGTAGAGTTTATTCTGACTATAATGACATACAGTCTCAGCACAGGAGCTACCTAATTAAGGAAGATTAAATAGAAGTAAAAGATCGGGCTGAATACAGCAGTCATAGAAAATGTAGAAATTATTCTTGGTATTCTGAAAATTGTAATATTCTAACAATCACACTTAAATAAAGATACACTTAGTTGCAAACAAATCTTCAGCTCTTCTTTCTTGAAGCATGTTTTAGCTGAGCATTCGTGTCAGGCAGAGCGCCTTTTCTATTAAAAAAGGAAAGGGGAGGAAAGGAAAGGGGGCAGTATGGCACATTCTCTTTTTAATTAGGAAAGCAACAGGCCTGCTAGAAGCCCCAGCCCCAGAACCTTAGACATCCTTGAACAAAACTGGGTCACTGGGGCACCGTTGGCTAAAGCAGCTAGAAAAGTGAAAATCTGTCCTCAGCTTCCACAGTGGGAGGAACAGGGGACTGGAGAGGACTGTTGGGCCAAGGGACAGAACCCATCCCCTCCCCCCCAAGTCTAAGCACCCTCTCTGCCACCTGCCATCACACTTACCACACCGTATCTTTAAAACTCCGTCTATCGTCCTAATAGACCAGAGGCTTATACCCCAACTATTAAAAAATCATCAGCAGTCAGACACCTAATGTATATTTAAGAAAAAAACCCCAACAGATTTGAGATATAACTTACATACAAACTCACCCACTGAGCGTTGACAAATGTTCACCACAATGAAGACATAAAGCATTTCCATCACCCCAAATTACGCATCTTTGCGGTCAACCCACTCACTCCACCCTAAGCCCCTGGACACCCCTGATCTCTCTGTCACTACAGTTGTGCCATTTCTAGAACGCCATGTAAGTGGAATGATACCACATGCAGTCTTTTTTGGTCCAGGTTCTTCCATTGGCACAGTGCTTTTGAGAGTCATTCTGCTGTTGCTTGTATCAGCAGCTCATTCCTTTTAAAATCACCATTGCACAGTTAAACCCCAGCCTGTATATCCACCCACCAGTCGGTGGACATCTGGTTGTTTCCAGTTTGGGATCACTATGGATAAAGGTGCTATGAACATTCACGCCCAAGTCTGTAGGGGGACAAATGTTTTCATATCTCCTGGGAAATACCTGGGAGTGGAGCTGCTGAGGAAGAAATAACTACATATTTAACTATTTTATAAGAATGTTTTTCTAAAGCGACTGTACCATTTTGCATTTCTACCGGCAATGAATCAGTTTCAGATGTCCCACTTGGTTTTTGTCACTTGGGGTTGTCGGATGTTTTAATCTTCGCTGTTCTAGTGGATGTATAACGATCTCATTGTGACTCTAGTTTGCATTTTTCCAAATGCCTGGTGATGTTGAGAATCTTTAATGTGCTTACTTGCCTTTGGGTATCTTTGGCAAAGTGTTCAAATCTTTTGCCCATTTTTAATTAGTTAAATGTTTAATTTCTTATTTTTTAATATAAGATTTTAAAATATATTCTAAAAACAAGTCCTTTATCAGATACTGTCTTGCCATTCTGAGGCTGGTTCTTTCATTTTCTTAACAATGTCTATTCAGGAGAAAAGTTTTTAACTTTAATAAAGCCCCAGTTTATAATTTTTTCTTTTATGGTTCATGCTTTTAGTGTCATATCTAGGAAATCTTTGCTTAAACCAAGGTCACAAAGGAGTTCTTATACAGATTTTATAATTTTTGACTCTCACATTGAAGTATATCATCCATTTCAAGTTAATGACTGTATACTGTAGGGAGGGAGGGTTTGAAATTCATTTTCTTGCATTACAGATATGCACTCGCTTTTAGAAAGACTATCCTTTCCCTATTAAACTACCTTGGAGACTTACCTGAAAAATCAATTAGGCATATATATGGGTCTATTTCTGGATTCTTTATCAATAAGACATCTGATAAGGGGTCAATTTCCAAAATTTATAAAGAATTTATATATCTCAACACCAAGAAAACAATCAAAATTAAAAAATGGGTAAAGGACCTGACTAGACACTTCTCCAGAGGACACACAGATGGCCAAGAGAAATATGAAAAGATGCTCAGTGGCACTAAGACCACAATGAGCTATCATCTCACGCTTGTGAGAATGACTGTCACCAACCAGCACGTGCTGGCGAGGGTGTGGAGAAGGGGAGCCTGGTGCGCTGCTGGCGGGAGTGCAGACTGGGGCAGCCGCTGTGGAAAACAGTGTGGAGCGTCCTCAAAAAATTAAAATGGAGCTGCCTTTTGACCCAGTGACCCCACTTCTGGGACTATATCCAAAGAAACCCGAAACGCTAATTTGGAAGAGTATGTGCACCCCTAGGTTCACTGCCGCAGGATTTCCAATAGCCAAGATCTGAAAGCCGCCCAGGTTCCCTTCAGTAGATGGATAAAAAAGCCGTGGGACAGTCACACCAGGGACGACTCCTCTCACCCTCTGCGACAGCATGGGTGGCCTGGAGGGCGTTACGCTAAGTGACACTAAGGCGTGAGAAAGACAGGACCCCGTGCTCTCACTCACCCGTGGGATCTAACAGGCAGGAGAAACTGACGCAAAACAGAGACAGACGCAGATGCACAGAACAGACTGACGGCTGTCGGGGGGTTGGGGCTGGGTGACAAGCTGAAGGGATTAAGAGAAAACCACGCGGACATCAGCGCGCTCGGGCGGAGGAAGGGGCGGGGGCGG